CTGTTAGGTTTATAAAAGATTCTCCCCTAAATATATTGAGGCAGCTTTTTTGCTAACACATTTTGGGACTCACGGATTTAGTTTCTGATGTCATTGTATGTCTTAAATCAAGTCTTCCTTGGCATCCCTGATTGTGGCATTTTCCAGCTCGAAACTCCGTAGCATCCTGTTTATACAGCTCTAATGGCACTTATCACACTGTATCTTGAATTGCATTTGTTTTCATTTATTTTATCTTGATGGCATTTCAGGGCAAACCGCTACCACCTGTCAGCAAAATGTGAGGGTAATGAAGCTGAAAATCTGGGGAGGGTCACGAATTGGATACTAAAGAATTATCAAAATGCAAAACCACACTCATGCTGGTCGGTGGAAGTCAAGTTGAAGATGTGGCTAATGGAACAAGAAACATTAAATCCATATAGGGCATGTATGAGAATCAAAGTCCATGGGGAAACATGAGGTTGTGGAGAGAGGAATCTAATAAAAAGGCAAACATGAGAAGTAACGGTAATATGCACTTGTTCTATTCAGATTTGTTTTCGTGGCTGTACTCTTGTACCATTTTGAGTTCTTTTTTGAAGGCCCAGAGCTTCTCACGTCTTTGTAAGTCTTAAAGAAGCAGTCAATTCTGTGTGACAAGCAAAGAATCCTATTTCCCATATTTCTATAACTTCAGTGACTGTGGCTACTTTTATTTCTCCATAGCATTTAACACTGACACAAATGTAAGTAATAAATCAAATTTGAATGAATAAATGAATAAAGTGTACATGTTTCACTTTTTTTTCTTTTTCTGAGACAGTCTTGCTCTGTTACCCAGGTTGGAGTGCAATGGCAACCTCAACTTCCCATGTTCAAGCGATCCTCCCACCTCAGCCTCCCAGGCAGCTGAGACTATAGGGACTCACCACCACGCCCAGCTACTTTTTGTATTTTCTGGAGAGATGAGGTCTCATCATGTTGCCCAGGCTGGACTGGAACTGTGTTTTTCACTTTTCAGAGTTAACTACAAAATTCAACAGACACTGGTATTTGTTCGTGAATACTAGTATACTCTTCTGTGGTTGAGGTAGCAAGTTCTCCAATTATACTTTCTATTGCCTCATGAGTCTTCACCTATTAGCAAGTAAGTTTTCTTTAATGGCATATTTAGGATCATTTTAGTGATGGTCATTTATAATAAAAAACAAAGACTACAGTACGCTTATGCACAGAGTGCTAATGTGTTGTTTAATTCTACTCCATCTGCAAATGTTTGCTTTCTTTTATTAGCTGCATTAGAAGAGGCTAATTTGTATAGTGTTTACATGTTATTTTCCCCAGTGAGGTGTCTGCTGTCATGCTTCCATGGCTCTATTATACCAGAAAATGATACCACATTGCTTTCGATTGCTTTAATATAAAAATCAATAAAAAGAATTATATGGGGGGGAATCCTCTTAGAGCTGAAAATATGTAATAAACAAGAATGAGAGTAACATTTAAAAAATTCTTGCACATATTTGATCTTTTTTCCTCTCATCTCTTGCTTTTCTCCTTAAAAGTAAAAAGTCGCCTCCTGTGTGTCTCAGAGGTACAGCTGTATTACCTAGTGCCGCTGCTGCATCATCTCTGTAGCAGCCGCTGTGTGACAGTTATTTTGCACAGTGCAGGGTAGAAAAAGGACCCAGCAGAGACAGTCGACAGCATAATTAAGAAACACTCTTCTTGTTCCACTGATCCCCATTATCTTTTCTTCTCACCTTGGCCTGTGTTCTTCTTCTTCATGAAATGGTAGTAGTTTTCAGTCTTGGTGAGAAAATAACAATTCAGCTAACCCCGAATGATAGGAAAACTTGTCACAGAGTCGCAGGTACATACAGAGTCCAAGTGAGCAAACTAACCTAGTCATTTTCGGGCCAAATTTGAGGCAGATAAAGCAAAAATAGAGATATGGCAGAGGTCAGACATTGCTAGCTGAATTTGTTAAAGAAACTGGAAGCCATTGATTAGTTGTAGGCTTTTTAGTCCAAGAAATGTTTGTCACTGTCCTCAGAGATTTTGTCTTCTTAAGCCATTTTGTGTGTGTGTGTGTGTGTGCGTGTGTGTGTGTGTGTGTAGACAGAGTCTTACTCTGCTGCCCTGGCTGTAGTACAGGGATGTGACCACAGCTCACTGCAGCCTCAGTCTCCAGGGCTCAAGGAATCCTTTTGCCTCAGCCTCCTAAAGTGCTGGGATTGCAGGCCTGAGTCACCATACCTGGTCCAAATTTTTGATAAAGCATTTCTGGTGGAGCATTTCTGGGGTAAACCCCACACAAATAGCCATGACTCAAAGTGAAAACTGACCTAACTCAAACTCCACTTTGCTTCAAGGCCTGAAAACTGGTAATCAGTCAGATTACCACAATATGACAAATATTTTTTTGCTCAGATAGATAGGTGATAGATGATAGAGAGATAGATAGAGAGATAAGCAGACTATCATTTAAACTGTTCGTTTACACTGTACAGGTAGTTTGAAAAATGTCTTCATGGGTATGGCTTCACATTATAGATGTCTTATGATAGAATCCCCAAGCACGCACATATCACCAAAATACTTTTCTATTTGTATTCTAGGTTCAGTATTTAAAAGGAATCCTATAATATAATCTCCAATATATTACTAAATAAGCTTATTTTGTGTGTGTGTGTGTGTGTGTGTGTGTGTGTGTGTCTATTTGGATGTGTCATCACAAAGATTTTAATGCTGATTGATGTAACTTCATTTGTTGTTCATAATAAATAGAATCATTTTAAGAGATAGATTTGAGGTCAGGCGCAGTGGCTCACACCTATAATCCCAGCATTTTGAAAGGTCGAGGCAGGCAGATTACTTGAGCTCAGGAGTTCAAGACCAGCCTGGACAATATGGTGAAACTCCATCTCTACAAAATATACAAAAAAATTAGCTGGATGTGGTGGTGTGCGCCTGTCATCCCAGATACTTGGGGCCTCTGAGGCAGGAAGATCCCTTGAACCCAGGAGGTCAAGGCTTCAGTGAGCCGAGATCCTGCCACTGCACTCCAGCCTGAGTGACAAAGTGAGACACTGTCCAAAAAAAAAAAAAAAAAAAAAAAAATGGGCCAGAGGACAGCAGGGGGAAGAAAGAGAGAGAGTTGAGAGAAGGTAGTAGAAAGATTTTTGTCTAGGCCGGGCGCGGTGGCTCAAGCCTGTAATCCCAGCACTTTGGGAGGCCGAGACGGGTGGATCATGAGGTCAGGAGATCGAGACCATTCTGGCTAACACAGTGAAACACCGTCTCTACTAAAAGTACAAAAAAAGTAGCCAGGCGTGGTGGCGGGCTCCTGTAGTCCCAGCTACTCAGGAGGCTGAAGCAGGAGAATGGCGTGAACCCGGCAGGCGGAGCTTGCAGTGAGCTGAGATCGCGCCACTCCACTCCAGCCTGGGCGACAGAGCAAGACTCCATCTCAGAAAAAAAGAAAAAAAAAGAAAGGTTTTTGTCTGACTCTAAATAAAGGTAAAATTCATGTTGATTTAAAAAGAATTAGGTTGGCTCAAAAAGAAAGGGTGGGGAAGGGAGTATATGCTAAGGCCACTTGGGAGCTATTCTTGTGGGTGGTGGCCATTTACTCTTCAATAAAACATGACTACTTACCATAGCAACCAGAGTAGTAGATAGTATATGTGCTGCCTCTGAGATACAGTGCTTAATAAAGAAATACTTGCAGTGAAGAATGAACAAACACATGGGCAGTTTTTTACAATCTCATAATAGAAAACAATATCTTTTTCAAAAGCAGTTATATTTTCCCAATTTTTAATACACAGCTACTGTGTGATAATCAATACAATATGCCACAAGCCATTTGTCTTTCTTTGTGACTGGCTTGCCTTTAAAAGTGATAATTTTTATTTGGGTGCTTGTTTCAACAGGATGAATGTTGCATTTCAGAAGGCACCAAGCTGTGATGGGGGGAAGGTAGCCTTTACTTTTCTAGAATGGGAAGTACAAAACGGCTCAAGTCCCTGCCTAGGGAGCACACAGATCCATGTGAGTCTCTGAGGTATGACCAGGTATATTTCTCACATAATATCTACAACTTTCTTTTGAATTTTGTCAAGGGAGGAGGGGCTTCAGTGGTCTGCTGAAGAGGCTGTTCATTGCTTTCAGTGGCAACTTAGATCCTCCATGCTTTTTTCTAAGCTCATTTATATACTTTGGCTGCTAGTTTGCCTTGCAACTCCCTGAGCTTTGCATGCGAGGGTCTTGAATTATCTTGTAATAATACTACTCCCTGTGAGTGGTTTCAAAATTTTATAATAATGTTTATTTTGCATGTGTGGGATTATTCATGTATCATTACTACAAGCAGGTATGTTCCATATGTTATAAAAGTTAAATTTTTACTTGGAAATCATAGCCAAAGAACACTTTTTTTCCTGATGAAAGTAATTTAAATTGAAGTAAGACCCTCTAATACCACCATCTGTACAAGTAAATTACTTTCAGAGTAATTAAATATGCATATCTGAGCCATGTACTGTACAGATGAACCAAGTTTTATTGAAGCAATATGCTTATAAATCCCTTAGGTGTTAAAGCTGAAGAACTAATGGCATTTTATATTTATGCAGATACAAATAAGCACAAAGAAATATATTTGACTAGTTTCATCTTTTTTAAAAAGTACATTTTATCAACTTTTCCTAGTTAATATTTCCACCAAATAGTATGATCAATATCTTTATTAGTCTAACATTCTGCATTGATTTAAAGCTTCACCAGTTATTTTCCTATTGTATGTATGTCTGGATTTATGATAGTGCCCAATCACTTATCTTCTGCAGGTTCCTGGGGAGCAGAGCAACGCAGTGAAACTGAAATTATTAAGTTGTCTGAATTCATAACAGTTGGACTTGCCCCTCCATGAAATAGCACTGCACAGCCAATTGGAATTCATGGCCCTGGCCCTTTATTGCATCATCATGGTTTATAGTCCATAACAAATACAAATACAGAAAGGAACCATAACAATATGATACATCTGACCTGCCAGCCTACCTTCTAGGGCTTTACTTGATGAGCTTGCATTCTCAATGCATGGGACAAAAGCAAAGGGAACACTCTCCGTTTACCCCTTATAAGGCCTGACCTTGGACCCCTAGTCCGTATCTTTGACCTTGTCATCACCACCGCAGGCAGCCAATCTCAACTGGGAACAGCAGTGATTTATGTAAGTTTTCCCAGAAACAAGGCTTCGTGAAGGCTTCCCGATGTGAGTTTAAAAGTGGTTTCCCACTGTGGTGAGATACCCCAGTTGCTTTTATAAAGCATTAATGTCTTCCTTACTAGAGCTGAAAAGTGACTTGGGCTCTGAAAATGGTCTGATAAATCGAAAGCTACCAAAGGAAGTTTCTTTGTCAGGAACTTTTTCATCTCAGATTGATAAAAATGGAATGTTTTTCTCTCAGATTGTTCTTAATCCTTAGGAATGTAGTAATTAAATTTTATTTCCTTCACATCAATTAATTCTCATTAAAGTAAAATTAAATGTTCATTGGAAAATGTTGGGACTTTTTCTTATTGCTAGCATCCTCTCATCTTTATAACAAAAGTGGATAAAACCTGCAAGTGATACGGAACTTAAAAAAAAAATGCATACTTACTTGCCCTTTAACAAACAAACCAAATAAATAAATGCTTTCCATTTCAAGACAGGGTCTCACTTTGTTGCCCAAGCTGCAGTGCTGTGGCATGATCTCAGCTCACTGTAGCTTTGATCTCCTGGGATCAAGTTATCCTTCTGCCTTGGCCTCTTGAGTAGCTGGGACTACAGGCATATGCCACCACACCTGACTGATTTTTTTTAAATGTTATTTTTCATAGAGGTGGGGTCTTGCTATGTTTCCCAGGCTGGTCTCGAACTTCTGTGCTCAAGTGATCCTCCCATCTCAGACTCCCAAAGTGCTAGGATTACAGGCATGAGCCACTGCACCCCAAAACTTGCTTGAACAAAGGAAATTCCAAGTCATCTTTGGAATAGAAGCACCAAGGAATGCTCTATGTATCTTCTTTGGTGCATTTCACTTTTTCATTTGTTTATCATAAGTCAAAGGGAACAAAAAATGCAATACCTTTAAAAGTCAGATTAAGGTTGCATATCACATTATTGAAAATGCATTTAAGACTAGAAGGCTGGAATTGTCCTCTAAAAGCAATCTATTTTATTCCACTCTCTTTTGGCAGGAGCTCATTTAAACTATCCTGTTCAGTGTATCCTCATTGGAAAAGTCACCTTCAAAAAGTGTCTTTCCATTGCTGATCCATGACTAGCCCCTGGCCCCAAATTTTTAGCACTCTGCCACTAAAAGAAAAAATAGGAACAGGGTAATACAAGTTTCAAAAAGTTAGGAATTTATGAAAATTATGAAAAACTTTCCTCTTTTTGATGGTTAAGAATGTGAACTCCAGAATCAGACTATCAGAGTTTGACTGCAGGGTGTCCTACTGGTGAGCTACAAAACCAGGACAAGTTAATTAATCTTCCTATGCCTTTTAAGATTTTCACACTTTAAAATAGGTATAATAACATTCCCACTTTCTAGAGTCTCTGTGGGAATCAAATGATGTTATACATACATGCTTAGAACAGTGCCTGACACAGAGTAAGTGCTCAATCAGTCTTAGCCATGATGTTGACCATGTGTCTTTCCTTCATATTTAGTTTCTAAATGGCCAAATTAGACTCTTTTTATACAGCTACATATCCTTTATGGCACTAATCACAACTGTAACTTTATGTTTATTCGTGTGTTTGGTTGATAACAGTTCCCATCGAAACTATAAGGACCTGAGGAAACAGATTCACTACCACAGCCCCACATTTTATTTGGCACAGTGCCTGATTGAGAATACATTTCCAATGTATATATTTGAATAAATACATGTTTTTTTATTTAACATACCTACTTGGAAAAACTAAAGAGCTGGCAACTTTATGACAGTCCCCATCTTTTCAAAGTATTTCCTAGTGAATGAAGCCTGAATTGTTTTGGAAACATCATTCTATTAGAAGCTTTCACCACTGCCTTAAGAAGCCCAATTTAGCATTTGACTGCTGAGTCACAAAGGTTTTCTTTCTAATTTAAACCACTTCTGTTACAGAAGAAGTCCACTGTTGTTACTGTAAAGAGGAGGAAACCTGCCCACCATACTTCACAGTAATTTTCTACCAGAGACTTAAATAGGATGATTTTTTTCCTTTGCAAGTGTATTGAAATGTGTTATCCAAAATTGAATACAGATTTCAAAGTCAAATAGTAATAACAAAACAGAGTCCAATATAGCTTAGAGAATTTTAATCACGGAATCTTATAAAATTTACACTCTATAACTTCTCTCCTTTCATCTAGTCTGGATAAATATGATTTTGTTTCAGACATGTATTTGGAACTCCAGAAACTGTTTACAAGGATCAAGTCTGATTTTACTAGGGACTGCCAGTGAGGTTCCAGGTTCCCCCAATCTGACGTTCTAAGTCTCTCACTTCTGTTGAGCAATATTTCATTGCACAGATTCCTTAAAATCTAAAAGACTCCTGGGGAAGGAATAACTGGAATAATAGTCTGTATACTGTTGTCTTAATTGGAAACAGCTGATTCGATGGGACAGGAAGAGGTGACCCTGGATTTTCATGTTTTCTTCATATTGTGCAATGATTATATATTGCTTTTCTCAGGTAAAAATAAAATATAGTTTTAAAAATAGTTCACCTTGGCTTTAGGTTGACTCTCTGTGGTACAATTCTAACACTCTTAGGTATACAATAATTCAGATGATTAACTCTTCCTTATCCACCTACGAGTATAATATAATCACAGTGACAATCATTTTAATTAGACAGTGAGTGGAGCCCCACACAGAGTTGATGTTTAGAGCTGTCTAGCAGTCTAGGACTGGGAGGATTAGTAGGGATCGGTAAGGGGATCGGAATGGAGTATCCGCTAGAAGAGATTAAAAGACAAATTATTATAGGAGAGTCAGGGTAGTTGAAAGAAGCAGCAGATAAGCAGCTCTCTTAAAATTGTTTGCTTTTTCAAGGCATTTCAACCAAATATGAAAGCAGCTCATACTACCTTTAGTCTCTAAATAGAGAAGAGTAAGAGAATGAACATATCTCTAGTTTGCACATTTTCTGCCAACGTATTCCAAATTACCTCTCAGGAAAAATCTGACTAGCAGAAACTTTACCTGAAAACTTTGTCCCTTAAGAAAGTACACATTTTCTTATCATGAATTTCAAACACATGAGTTTTAAATACCCTTTGAAGTAATCTTCAAATTCTGTATGTTACTGTAAATTAAGAACCCTCCATCAAAATGCACATTTATGTATGCAAACCTATATTTCCTTTGAGCACTCCTCTCACTCTACCACCATTCAAAATAATAGCCCAAGCCAAAAACTCATTAGTAATCAATATTACTATGAAACTTAAAGTAGAATTACTATGGGTGTCAAAAGGACTTTATAATTTCATGTGGACAATTATTTCAGGTTTCTAGACTGCTTACTTCTCAGTGTTCTGTTTTTTTGTTTTTCTGTTTTTTTATAGCAGGTGGGTTTTTTGTTTTATTTTTATCATCATAATCATAATCATCATCTTCTTCTTCATCATGATATGGTGATGCTTTTACTGAGATCTTGCTGGACCATGAATTATTGTTACCAAAGGGATCTGAGCGGCTGAACCCAAAGGAATATGAGTCCCTTCAATGAGAGTGGACTTATGGTATCAAGTCCGAGAAGCATCCAAAAGAATTTGCTTTCATCCTCCAACACAGGTAAGGTTTCACCTCTTCATTTTTGGATACTATTGATCGAATCTGAATATTTTCTATTTTGTTCAACTCTGGGAAATGAGCGGATATTGGAAACTTTTAGATCTACTTTAGTTTTTAGTCTTGGAAGAGGATGATAAGATGTGGGGGGGGATTGAAAGCTTTTCCTTGTTCTAAAATGGGTATATTTATACTTGCTCATGACCTTTGAAAGCAAAACTATGTACACTTTCTAAAATTATTTCAGAACCTAAAATAAAGGTTTCAAAAGCAGCACTTTCTAAATGCCAAGGAAAATAACAGAATGTTCTTCTGTTTACAATTCTTCCTCAACTGTTTTATAGATAGAATTTTAAAATAGATTTTGTCTATGAAAGATAGTGTTCATTTAAATTGCACTAGCATGCAATTATGCCACAAGATGTTGTCATCTATTTAAAATAGCTTTTTGTCTCCTGAGATGTTTATTTCAAATAGTTACACTAAATTAGAGTTTCTACTAGAGAAAGATTAAAACTCCAGAATTTTTAAAAAATCTACATCCTGCAAGGCAAAAGAAAACTTATAAGTTTTGGGAAAGAGCAAAGGCAGCATCTCCTCAGACCCTGAGGCACCATTTGGTGCTAAAATTCCAGTACCAAGTGGAGAGTTTTAATTGCATTTGCTTTCAGAACACTGGAAGAATACAATGACGGCCAGATGTGAGATAGTATCTCACTTAATTCTTGAGTTTTTTTCATTCTGGAAGTTAAGAAATCAGGTAAAACTAGTTATAAGACAATATATAGACATCCAATTAAAAGAGAAGCTTAGAAATCAGCTAACATATACTCAAATGAACATTATTTAGCTTCCCTAGAGAAAGGCCTTGATAGCCTTAATCACAAATCCGCTCAGGAAAAAAATATCTGGTAGAAACTCACTAGGATTTTCTGGCCGAAACTAAACTCTTTTGTTAAGAATTACCATCTACACTATGGCTGGGTTGAAGAAACTATATATAAAAGTCCATAAGAGCAACATCAATAAAAGTAACAAAAATTACTTAAAAACTATACCAAGTGGTCGTGTACTTTTGGCCATGAGCGAATAAATGAGTCCAAACTTACCCTTTCATCATAAATATTTAGAAAATGAAACTAAATATATGACACAATAGATTTTAGGAAATGGACACTCAGCATCACAAAATTATGATTCCTGAGAAGAAAGAAAAAATAAAAATAAAATGAACCTTGCAATCACTTCAATTTCTGCCTGGAGGCAGCTTCCAGGCTATGGTGCAGGGAGAGGGAACCCAGACTTGTGGTCTTACCCAAATGAGAAAACAAACACCATAAAGGCTAGAATTTTCAAGACAGAGTCCAAGAAAGAAGGGAGATATATAGAAAGAGCTTCAGAAATCTGCATAAAGTCTTCTTGAGTTTTTAAATGAATACTAATCTGCATACACCTATGTAGAAATTCCATGAAGTCAGGCAAAAAGCTACCTTTAGAGAAAGAAAAATTACTAGAGAACTGCAAAAACAAATAGTTCCCAGAGCTCACACAAAGCAGGAAATCATTCAAATTCCCAACAGCCAGAGTGGAGAGACCTCATTGACTATATGGGACATTCATAAGAAAATTCAGAAGGGTTACGATGTATTTATAGGGCTAATGTTGGCCTAGAATAAACCTTATTCTAGACTTACCTTAAAATTCTGGAAACAAGCTTTGAAAGGATCAAACTAATTCTCAAGTAATTTGGCTGTTCTTAAAGAAATACAACAATATCCAACCCTCAAATGTATAAGATTAGCAATGTTTGGCATGCAGTCAAATATTGTTATGTGTAACAAATAACAGGAAAACTTGACTCATAACCAGGAAAGAAATCGTTTTATAGAAACATAGTCGGAAATGGCAGAGGTAATGGAAGCAAGCAGGCAAGGATGGTAATCAGTATGCTCAAAGGATTAAAGAAAATGTGAATAAATATGGAGAAGAATATTTTTGCAAAGACCCAAATGAAACATCTAGAGATGGAATATAAAATATATGAAATGAAAATTTTGCTAAATAGTGTTAACAGCATAGTAGACATTTCAGGGGGAAAAAAAGGCTAGTGAACGTGACAAAATAGGAATATAAACTATTCAGAATAAGGCTGACAAAGAAAATAGGAAAAAGGCAACCAACCAACAAAAAGCAAAACCACAATAGCCTATATGGTAGTATCAAGTGCTCTAGCATATGTTTGAAAGTCCCTGCAAGAAAAGAAAGAGAATGTGGGGTAAAAAAAAAAAAAAAAAAACTTGAAGAAATAATGACTTTTTTTTTTTTCAAACTCATGACAAATAAAACTAGAGATCCAAGAAACATATAGAACTCTGAGAAAGATGAGAACAACTAAACATATATTAAGGTACATGTAATAAAATTTCTGAAAAGCATTCATAAGAAGAAACTCTTAATAATGGCCAATAAAAATATACATTATGTACACAGGGAGAAACAAGATAAGAATGACAACAGACTTCTTATCAGAATCTTAGCAATCCAGAAGACAATGGAATGCCATCTTTAAAGTGCTTAAAAAATAACCTGTAAATGTATTATTCAATATAAATTTAAATATTTCACAAATGAAGATGAAACAAGGTTGTTTATTTTCTGGGAAAATGAAAGCAAGCAGAATGATATGATTTGTACCTGTGTCCTTGCCCAAATTTAATGTTAAAATAAAATCCCCAGTGGTGGAGGGGGGTGCTGGTGGGAGTGATTGGATCATGGGGACAAATTTTCATGGTTTAGTACCATTTCCTCTTGGTACTGCATAGTGATATATTTCTCAGAAGTTCTGGTTGTTTAAAAGTGTATAGTACCTCCCTATTCTCTTCTTCCTGCTCCTGGTCGTGTGAAGTGCCAGCTCCCCCTTCACCTTCAGCCATGATTGTAAATTGGCTCCCAAGAAGCTGAGCAGGTGCACCATGCTTTTTATACAGCCTCCAGAACTGTGAGCCAATTAAACCTCTTACCTTTATAAATTACCCCATCTCAAGTATTTCTTTATAGCAGTGCAAAACAGACTAATAAAGAAAATTGGTACTGAGAAGTGGGACATTGCTATAAAGATACCTGAAAACGTAGAAGCAGCATTGGAAGTGAGTGATGGACAGAGGCTGGAACAATTTTGAGGGCTCAGAAGAAGACAAGAAGATGAGGGAAATTTCGGAACTTCCCAGAGACTTGTTAAATTATTGTGACCAAAATGCTGATAGTGATATGGATAGTGAAGGCCAGGCTGAGGAGGTCTCAGATGAAAAAGAGGAACTTACTGGGAACTGGAGCAGTCACTTTTGTTACACTTTAGCAAAGAGCTTGGGTGCACTGTGCCTCTGACGTAAGGATCTGTGGAACTTTGAACTTTAGAGTGCAGCAAAGTATTCAAGATGTGATCAGACTGCATCTAACAATCTAAATTCATATATGGGAGAAAAGAAATGATCTGAAACTGGAACTTATATTTAAAAGGGAAGCAGAGCATAAAAGTTTGAAAAATTTGCAGGCTGCCTACCTGGTAAAAAATAAAAGCCCATTTTCAGGGGAGGAATTCAAGCTGGCTGCAGAAATTTGCATAACCAAAAGGAAGACAAGTACTAATAGCCAAGACAACAACAAGAGGCCTCCAAGGAATTTCAGAGACCATCATAGCAGCCCCTCCCATCACAGGCCCAGAGGCCTAGGAAGACTGAATGGTTTCATGGGCCAGGTCCAGGACCCTCCTGCACAGTCTTGGGACACTGCTTTCCTATCTCAGCTGCTCTAGTTCCAGTCGTGGCTCAAAGGAGCTCAGGTACAGCTCAGGCCACTGCTTCAGTGGGAGCAAACCATAACCTCGGCAGTTTCCATGTGGTGTTAAGCCAGTGGATGCACAGAGTGCAATAGTTGAGGATTAGGAGCCTCCGCCTAGATTTTAGAGGATGTATGGAAAAGTCTGGATGTCTAAGAAGAAGCCTGCTTCAGGAATGAATCCCTAATAGAGAACCTTTACTAGGGCAGTGTGGAAAGGAAATGTGGTGTTGGAGGCCTTACACAGAGTCCCCACTGGGTCCCGGCTTAGTGGAGCTGTGAGAAGCCACCATCCTCCAGACCCCAGAATTGTAGATCCACTGACAGCTTGCACCATGCACCTGGAAAAATGACAGGTACTTGAAGCCCGCCCGTGAAAGCAGCATTGGGAGCTGTACCCAGCAAAGCCTCAGGGGCAGAACTGCCCAAGGCTTTGGGAGCCCACCCCTTGCACCAGTGTGCACTGGATGTAAGTCATGGAGTCAAAAGAGATTATTGTGTCACTTTAAGATTTAATGATTGCCCTGCTGGGCTTCAGACTTCTGTGAGACATGTAGCCCCTTTCTTTTGGCTTATTTCTCCCTTTTGGAATGAGAGGTTTTACCCAATGCCTATGCCAAAATTGAATCTGGGAAGTAACTAACTTGTTTTTTATTTAACAGGCTCCTAGGCAGAAGGGACTTGTCTTATTTCAAATGAGACATTGGATTGTGGACTTTTGAGTTAATGTTGGAATGGGTTAAGACTTTGGAGGACTATTGGGAAGGCATGAATGGATTTTGCAATGTGAGAAAGACATGAGATTTGGGAGGGGCCAGGGCAGAATAATATGGTTTGGCTCTGTGTCCCCACCCAAATCTCATATTGAAATGTAATTCTAAATGCTGGAGGTGGGGCCTGGCGGGAGGTGATTTGATCATGGGGGTGGTTTCTCATGGTTTATCATCATCCCCCCTTAGTACTGCATAGTGACAGATTTCTCACAAGATTTGGTTGTTTAAAGGTGAGTAGCACCTTTCTCCCACTTCTTCCTGCTTCTGGCCATGTGAAGTGCCAGCTCCCCCTTCACCTTCCACCATGATTTTAAGTTTCCTGAGGCCTCCCAAGAAGATGAGCGGACACATCATGCTTTTTGTACAGCCTGCAGAACCATGAGCCAATGAAATCCC